TATTATTATTCATATTCAACGTATGTACAAATTAAGCATGCAAATGGTAAAAAAGTTAGCAATCCCGGATAAATACGAATATTGGTGTTTGCATGACGGAGAAGCATTGTCAGCGACGACCACGCTGTGGCCGTTGGCATTGCAACATTGAACAGTCAGCCATGAGCCTACGCCGTACGTAATGCATCCTAAAGCAACCCTCGTGTGCCAGGCATTGCAAGTGCTCCAAGCGGAGGAGTTATAGACACACACATTGCAGAGAATATGTAAGTATATTGTACAGGTCGATTGGTTTAGGATAATTTCCTCTGTAACTGCATGGATCGACTTCAGCATGCCGATCATATTTGATTCTTAAATGCAAGTTAATGCGGTTCATAAACATAGTTCATTGAAGGATTATCTCACAAAGCACTTTATCATATAGCTGTGCACTGCGCAGGCTCGGATAATTACAAATGGAAGTTGAAATTTTGTCTTTTCTGACTCGGCGAGTCACTCTGATTTAGTTGATTGGTCAGCGGCCCATCTGCGAGTCATAATTGTCGATAGTATGTCACATGTTAGTTTCATTTAGCTACTGAAGATACCAACCTTATGAAGCAGGGGTAAGGTGGTTGCAAATTTATACCGATATAGGTATTACATAGTGTCACACACTTGAAATCAATGTGCTGCCAATTTGAGATCACATTACTGTACCTAACATATGAGAAGAAAAGGATAATGCTGTTTCTGATATTATGGAATAGACATCAAACATAAGAAGAACACAATTTTCCTTTAAATCAATGAAGGCATTGACGCGGGTGCTGGTGTCTCGGGTATGGTAACAAGCGTATGCGGGAGCAAGGGGCGATGCGCCCTGCACACATAAAGCAGCGGATGCCAGGCAAGCATCTAACAAAATCAATGTCAGAGCACCGTCTAGGCTGTTACGCGTCAAAAGGAAAATATGGCACATGGGTTCGCCGGAAATACGTAGCGGGCCATAAGTTTTGGATAAGCAAAGCTTGAAAATATCCTCCAAAGAGAGAGAAAGAGGGGGGAGGTTATCCTGCACTAGTCAAAATGTATAATTATATGCATTCTTAATTTACATATTACATAATGGACAAAACATAAGTGGGGGTGTGGCCCTGATAGTTAAGTTAAGACCGTCAATAACCTTAAATACACGAGAAAATAACTTCGCGCTGCATATACAATATGCGGTTGCATACACCACTGCGACCAATGCTTAATCCAAACTCTATTTTTTGCTAACGCGCATTTACTTGCTCCTGTATAAGCAGTATATTTTTCAAAGGTCTTGTGACGGATTTCTCAGTAATTTTGAGCCGTGGCGCGAAGTCATTGATTTTGTCAAATGCGGTTGTGCGGGGCAGGCGGCGGCTCTACGATGGCTGTTTTTAGGACCTGGCGCTATCGTCGGCTGTACCTGAGGGCTCCTCCTGTATAACAATGGGGACAATCCTGCAACACGGAGCGGCCACGGGTTCCGTCAATTATCACACAGTAACCGGATGGTCGGTACACATCAGAAGTGCATCATCAAAAGCGAGAGCCGTTTCAAATTCAAAGTGTTCCGGAAACCAACCAGCAAAGAAGACTATGTCCATTTCTACTCAGGTCACAGTGAGAAAGTAAAAAGTGGAATAGTGATTGGGTTCTTTTTGCGTGCTTTTCGTGTATGCGACGACGAATATTTACAAGATGAGATCGAGCATATCTACTCTTCGTTTATGAGGCTCAAGTACCCAAAAGGATTTTTGATCAAACAAAAAGAAACGGCCAAGAAGATAAGAAACAGGTCTCAGAGGGAAGCGAGGCCAAAGTCGAAAAGATGGATAACGATTCCGAACTCGAAAGAAGCCAACGAAATATCACGAACTCTACAGAAGGGAGGTGTGAACGTGGCGATCAGTTCTGGAAAGAAGATAGGCGAACTGATCGAACGACGTAAAACGAAACATGGTTCCGAAGCGAATGCGAAAAGTGTTGTGTATGAAATTCCATGTAAGGGGTGTGGACAAAGTTACGTCGGGGAAACGGGGAGGGGGGTAGATGTAAGGGTAAAGGAGCACAAGAATGACGTCAGGTTCCATCGCACATCGAATGCGATCGTACTTCACATTGAAAAGTGTGACCATCTGCCTGACTGGGATGGGACGCATATCTTAGGAAAGAACATGACAAAACGAAAACGCAAAATCATCGAAGCCGCTCATATTATCTCACGCGAAACATTTAATACTAGGAGTGGGTTCATTCCTTTAGCGTCTGGTGCTGTTCGTCTAGTTATAGGTAGTCCCTGAACTGTATCCCGTGCGATGAAGTCAATTTGCCTTTTGAAATATTTGAAAATATTCCTTCATTTTAGCATACACACAGTGATCAAGGTATTTGTTACCGAAAGCTCTGTTTTTTAATTGTGTATTTGAATATATTGTCGTTTTTTATATACATCAGAAGTATTGACGAATCTCACACAGTCGTGTCTGGTGTAGTTTTACGCGTGAAAATATGCTTCCAGCAGGCGTACAGAAATGGATGGATCGAAGTATGAGATTGCATAGTTTTGAGTTTTTTGACAGTGCTGATCACGCCTGCCAAATTCAAATATTTACGAGTACCAATACAAATGACCAATACCTCATTCGTCATTCATTTAACTTTACGATAAAATGTTTTGTTAACGCACAAATCTGTGCAATAACTAACATCAATAGCAAATAATGTATTATGATTCAGAATATCTACACAGTGATAAAACAAAATATCGCAGGATTCAGCTTTGTTTGGTGTTATGGGGCAGTTCACAAAATCGAATTAATGAATAAATGCCGACGGAAAACTGAGAAGTGTTCTTTTGTTCACCAATCATAAGCAAATGTGACGAGAATGAAAATATAAATTGCTCTCTAATACTGTGTGTTAACTCGCGCGGGGCTGGGGGGGTAAATTTTACCCCCCCTCGCGAATTTTTGCGATATCTCAAAAACGGCGGCGCGCAGCGCCGCCAAACTTTCAGTACCTTTTTTTACATCAATTTGACACATTCCCTGAAAATTTGAGCGAAATCCGTCGGAAAATTTTTGAGAAATTGACGTTTTAGTGACGTCATGTTCGCCATTTTCGCCTCAACAACGGCAAAAGTTCAAACGATGCTAACATCTTCATTTTTAAAGGAATCAAGACGTAACAAAAAAGGTTATACGTAATTTTACTTTGTCTATCAAATGGCTATCTCGGTTTTTTGAAAATTTTGGATTTTGGCCTAATTTTTTTCAAAAAACTGACTTTTTTGGGAAAATCATTATAAAATCCAAAATTTTGAGTCTATCGAAAAAACCGGAATATATGTCAGTGGAGTGGTCTATGTGCACCTACATACCAAATTTTAGAAGAATCGGTTCAAAAATGTGGGAGTTATTCAAAATTTTATGACGTCACGACACACAAAATTTTTGAAAAATGACTTTTTTGGAAGTTCTAGACCTCGTACGGAAACAAAAAAAAGCACCATTCGATTCGCCGTGAAAAACTGCATCAGATAGACACCTTTTTAGGCCTTAACAACCAACTTCAAAATTTGACCTCACTTGACCTGACCTTGACCTGACCTCGCCCTGAAATTCATCCAGAGGTGGTCCATATCACTTATTGAGTGTGCCTATTGAATTCTATGAGTAAAATGACCCATAAAACATGTGTCGCACATGCCCTTTTCTATATTTTGTTTTTGGTGACCTGACCTGACCTGACCTGACCTTGACCTTGACCTCTGAATGATATTGTATGCAACGAATATTGTCTTGGTAGCCTAAGAACACGTTTTGGGCGATCAGTCTCAGTCCATGACTCCATTCTTCGGCAACTACGGTGCAAGGCCGATACTGTAGAGACTTGCAATTTGTACCCTTGACCTGACCTTGACCTTGACCTCAAACTTTAAATTAAGTACATGTTTTTAGTAGTTCGTGATGAGAGCTTTCGATTGGCGTTTGAATTTTCCAAATCGGACAATTAGTTCGGGAGATAACAGGGGGGGTAAAATTTACCCCCCCCCCCAGCCCCGCGCGTTCGGCTGGAGACCCCAGCCCCGCGCGGGTTAAGCATTTTAATGCGTTGTTTTCTAAATATGTACTCTAGTTTGCACTGCAGAAGCAAGCAAGCTTGCTCTGTCCTGCCATATTAACCATATTAAACTGTGTTTGTTACGGACACTTAATTCTGCTTTTGACATTTGGCAGAGGTAATTTGCATACAAACTGGGTTCAAATTCCATCTCTCTGCTACGCTGGTTGAAGAACGGCGTAATCTAAATTCCAGTCTTGTCTACGTGTGTAACTATGTGCGTGAGCCGCCAGCCGCCGTTTAGAAGAAGCTCGCTAATGTAGTGTGTGGGAGCTTGTGGCAATGCGGGGCACGTGTCACTGCTCGCTTCAGTGTTCGCCGCTGTTGTTAGCAGAGCTGAGAAGCCACAAAGTGCAGTATGTTATGTAACAGAGCACAAGCCGTGTGTTCCCTCCGAAATGGACGTTAATGCTGACAAAATGGCCATCGAGAAAGGAATATCGCAAGCTTGTCGTTTGTGATACGAAGATGTAGTACACCAAGGCTTACTGGCAGCGCCCACGATGGTAAATGGAATAAAAAAGCAGGGAGACAGTTTGTCTTTTTGCGTAGCTTGGTGTCGTTGAGTTCAAGCTCAACATGCCTAGATTAATAATGATGTACCGAAAATACAAGGTTCCCTACATGACCTCAGCAATTGGAAGGTCAAGTCCCGGCCCTCCCCGCTGACTTGTTTAAGAGCACAATCTCCATAGGGCGCCAGCTCCCAACTCACTCAATGTCACTCAAAGAGGACCCTCCCACCCAGCTGGTCTGTTTTGGAGGACCCCCAGCCGACTCATTTAGGTTGATTCCCTCCTCCAAGATGACCTGTTTAGGAGGCCCCTCCCCAGCTGACCTGTTTCGGGGATCCTGCTGACCTGTTTCTGGAGGGCGCCGCCGAGCGGCAGCGCCACCGGCCGCCGCGGCTCTGGCTGTCCAGTGAGTTGAACGCGTCGTCTAGCAGTGTGTGGAAGCGGCGCCGCATCCTGCCAATGTCGGCGGCCGACTCCGGACCGGCGCCGAGGCGCGACCGCACCGGCTCCGCCCACGAGGAGCCGTCCTCGCTCTCGGAGCCGGAGCCGCTGACGATCTCCACCGTCTCCGTCTCCACGCGCACCTGCACGTCGTCACCATGGCGGCCGTGGCGGCGGCGGCGGCCGTCACGGCGCGTCCGCTGCTCCGCGTGCCGGTCACGGGAGTCGCGCAGGTCACCCGAGTCCTGCCGGTACCGGCGCGGCGGCACGGACGGCGCCGGGCTCTCCGGACGGTACGCCTCGAACGGCAGCGGCAGCGCGCGCGCCGGCACACGGGCCGTGAACAGGCGCGCCGCCTCGTCCGCTCCAGGTGGGTAGGTGGACCGGTAGGGTGTCACCTCGCGCTGTGCCGCAGCAGGAGGAGGAGGGCGGCCGGCAGAGGCGGGCCGTCGGCCGGCCGGGGCCCGCCGCGCCGCTGGCAGGGGGGCAGGGACGGCGGAGGGCGCGGCCGCCGGCGCCACGGTGGCAGAGGACGGTCGACTGGCCGGCAGCGGCGGCGGCGGCGGCGGCGGGCCGGCCGCTGGCTCGTTGACGGGCGTCAGAGACCGGTCGCTGCCGTGGCGCGCCGTCACCGAGGTGCGCAGGCCCAGCGAGGCGTACATTGAGTCCTCCTGCTCGCTGTCATCGCTGCCGTCGACGGCGTACTTGCGGCGCGCGTCGGCCTGCTGCGGCGGCCCGGCGCCCTGGCCGGCCTTGACCCTGATGAGCCGCTCTGTGGAGGGTGTGTTGCCCTCCTCGGGTGAAGTCTGGCAGCTGGCCGCCACTGTAGTGGTCGGCGGCGCCGCGCCGCTGCCGCCCGGCTGTAAACAACACACGGCGCTCAGTGACGGCGGCCACACTCGGCCCACACCACCGACAGACACACGGGACCAAACAGCATCCCGGGATGTATCGATTTCCTATCTCACTAAAATAACTTCAAAATTATGCAAATCAATAGCATCAGCACCATATTCAGCATGCAGCGGGAGTCTGCTAAGGGCTCATTAACGGGCACCCTCTCGCCGCCGCTGCTGGCTCGCGGGGGATTTATTGTTGATACAGCGGGGCACGTCTGGCGGTGTGTGCCCGCAGCCGTGTCGGCGGCTGTGCCGGCTTGTATCGTCACTCCCGACGCAGCCGATGACGCGGCGGCCATTAACTAATTTGTCTGGCGCTGCGCCGAGTGCGCGGTCGCCGGGGGCTAGCAGGCCGTGTCTGGAGGGCACGGTGACTGGATCGACTGTGCCTCCAGGCTCAGCAGACGAGCGCCTCCAGTTCAGGAGGCAACTTGCTGGCAGGAGCTGCTTGAACAGTGAACTTTGAATATACATTACTCGTCACGTAAGGGAAATATTCGACTTTGACATGGAGTTTTGAACTGAAATAGCAGTTTTGTGGCTTGAGCTGAAAATAGCACAAGTCACAACTTAGAAGCTCTTACGGCCCAACAATTAACCTAGCCAAAAGAGATTTCAGTCTCAGATCCGAATCGAGTCTTATCCAGGAATGTGACCTTTATGATCTAGGAATTCTTAGACATGATGGCGGAACACAATTAAAACGCGCGGATTCACCACGTGAGCAGAATCGTTCAAAGACGATTGGCTGGTCGGTTATTCGTGTCCTATTCTTTTATCGTCATAATAAAGAGAACGGCTTTATACTCGTAGAATAGAGTGGCTTTGCTTCGGAAGAAATCTAAAAATTGTTCCTCACATGTCGAACTTACGTTTGAAATCAATTTTGTTTTCAACATATTTTTGGAAGGTGAAGCATTCACTTTGGTGCAGCCATATTCTTGTTAACAATAAAGCAATCACCTTGTCGATTAAAACACTGTAACAGTGTAACACGTCTAATGGCATCGCGTGCTCCTGACATGGTATGGTTCCTTTTCTTTGTTCTCTGCCGTAGGCACTTACGCTTTGGAGCTATTTTAGTCCTGCCTGAGCACGCAATCAAAGCTCTAATGATCCTGTCATCGATTCAATTGAATCCAATTTTCTCGTTTTACCTTTGCCTCAGACCCCTGAGAGCACGTCCAATAACGCTGCACACGCAACTACTAATCGACTTGAACGCAAAATCTCCGAAAGGGTTTAAGGCTCACTGAAGCAAAGGGAACTTTTCCAGCGTTTGGTTTTCGACAGTTGAGTCAGCGAAATGCACGCTGAGGCACCGGCTATGAAATCAAATCACGAATCGGAAATGGAGTTCAGGCTTTCTTGTCAGGCTGCTTTGAAGGCCAATCGTTACTGAAGTAGAGCGCGATAGGAACTAGACAAATGGTTCTTCCGGCGCCATATCGGTGTCAATTGTGATTCACGTCATATATTCAGTAACACAGTGGCCGTGGAATTCGGCTGGAAACATCCGTATTATCGTTTCCTTTTCCAGTAGTCTAATCATTATCCCTGTCCAATAATCCACTGACATTAACGAATGAACGCTTATTTAAGAACCTTCTACCATCGCCTATCCCTTCTCGTCACGGCCACCTTTTCAGTTCTCCCCTCTCACCTCCCTCATCACTAGTTCCGTCCTTATCTTGCCCTTCCCCCTCTCTCTCTCTCTCTCTCCTCTCTCTCTCTCTCTCTCTCTCTCTCCTCTCTCTCTCTCTCTCTCTCTCTCTCTCTGTCCCTGTCTCTGTCTCTGTCCTGTCTCTGTCTCTGTCTCTGTCTCTGTCTGTCTCCGTCTTCTCTCTCCTCTCTTCTCTC